TATTAATAATACAATACAGTGCACTTAGGGCATAGCCAATTCCCTCTATATCCCAAATTCATAAGAATCAACATTAAATGAAAAGGAAATATAGAGTACCTCCACTTGTTATAGCTACTTATTATGTGACTACTAACTTTCTATCAGGTTGGCTAAGTACCGCAATCGATATTTTGCATACCAGCCACACCACATCTTTTGCCCACTATCTGAAAGAAAGTTTTCCTTACATTATGCTGCTGGCTAAATAGTCCCTAAGAAATTAATTTGTGTTTTAAAAAGAGAGAAGATGCATGTTGCAGCACAATCTCCCCTCCCCCCTAGCTTGGAAGCTCATCTGACCTGGAAACAGTGAATTACAAAAATGTAGCCAATTTTCGTGGATCTGAGCAAATGAACCAATTTTTAGGTCATCAAACCAGTTTCTTCTCTTTTACCCGTTCTGTTTATATGGACTCTCAATCAGAAAAAGGAAAACATAAAGCAAGGGCATAAAAGCTCTATTTTTAATTTCAAAGTATCACTTTGAAGTCTTGATTTTTAAGGAAAATAGTGAGTATATAAAGGTAATTGGAGCACCCATGTAGGTGAAAAAGAAGGAGAAAGAGAAAAGTAATGAATATGATAAAGTGTAGTAAAGTGCTAACATTTAAGAAAAGTAGGTGAAGGACATTGGGAATTCTTTGTATCACTCTTAAAATTTTAGTAACTACTTCTAGGATGTACTTGGGGTGAAACATGACACATATACCTATATTTTCATCATGTTTTGTGACATTTTAGTACATAAGTAAACAGATTAGATAGTGAATGAAAAACTTCGGAGCCCTTCCTAACCCATCCTGGCGTTGGTGATGGCAGTGTGGAGCAGAAATCAGAGGGGATCCAAAGAAAGGAGAGCAAATGTCCTTCACTGACTATTCTGCATCAAAATTGAAATAATTTTGATTCTCTTTACCTCCACTGTTGTGTTTAGTCTAGTGGCCCGGAGCACCAGCTGGCCACAGAAACACTGGACCATTAAGTAAGTCCAGACCACTGGGTATGATCCTTACCTATAAAAATAAAATTCAATACACCAGTGCTATCCAAGTTGGAAGAAGATTAGGTGATATAACTTAATATTTAATAGACACATGGGGCAAGTGGATACTACCATCCACTACAAACTCTACACTGAGTTTCTTTAAAGAATTGGGGGCTGGGGCAGGCAAGGATTTTCCTCTTTTGTTTTTATCCAGTTCTGACTCAAATAAATTTATGTTTTTATATTATGCACATACTACTCTCAAATGTGAATTGAAGATTTCAGTGTATGTGGTTCAAAAGCTACCTGTCTTAATATCCTTGAGATTCTTTAAAATGCAGATTTATGGACTCCAAGAATCAAAGATTTTTAGAAAACGTCCAAGGGTTTTGGTACTCTGTGTGAGGACAAACTGTACTGAATATTTAAATAATGATGTCGACACTCCTGTGATCAATACATTGAATTATCTGGTGTTTGATTTTTAAAAAAACAGTTTATTTATTATAATGGCTTATCTGGCAGCCAACCTTTGGCAGGAAATGATTGCTATATAGCTGATTCAAAGAGAGTGAGTTCAATATGTCTTTTCATTGTCATATAATGTAGATTAAATATATACATGTTTATATATATGTTTTTATATATATCTATAAATGTACACACACATAAAGATATATGCCAAAAGAAAAGGATCGTGTCACCAAATTATACATATGGTTAGCTCCTTGTACAGGGTGAATTTTATGGGGTCTGAAGAACAACTGATTCACTGAAAGGAGATGTTCCACAGTGAGCAGATACCATTTCACAAAAACTTTACTGTCTGAAGAATGAGCAACTATGCATCCCCCATACAAAAGGGAAAATAACCACTATGCATTTCCTGTTTCAGTTTAGAATGACTGAGAAATTAAATTCAACACAGGAATGACATTCAATATAGCTCTGGCTTTTTCTTGGGGCAATGTTTTTTTTCTTTAAGTGAACATTTAGTTTTTCTAAGAATTTAAGAGGGTCTCTTACCTTTGAATACTGATTAAGAAGAGCGAAGGAAAAAATTTATGAAATCATAGTCTATTAAAATCTTTAGAGGGAAACGAAATATAAGAAACACAGTCTTAACCATTTAGAGGATCCTATCCAGTTTTTAACTTAGTTGTGTGTAGTTTTCATTTTATTTGGATATAAGAGTGAACCAAAATTGCTCTCTGCTGCAGAAAAAAGTGCTTCCCATTAGCTTTCCTATAAAGCGCCAGTTTATGAAAATCCAATATCATTACTTAAATAATTGAAATGACCTCAGTATGCAAGTATAGAAACAGTTTGCCTTTCGAATATGACAGAAAAAAATTAGGACTTGAAACAGTTCTTCGTCCTCCAACATCTCAAAAATAGAAGTGCTATAGTAAATTTTCCATATTTTTATCCACTAACCTCTCAAAAGACAGAGGTTAAATGCTGCTGCCTTTCATCCCAGCCTCTCTGAGTCCCATTGTCTTCCCCTTACTGTACTTCCCAGTTTCTGGATTTTACCAAGAACTGAAACACCTGAGGAAATTTCAGTATGTCACAACCAGCTTTAACAATAATTCACCCACAGCAAAATCAAAGTGTAAGGAATTACATATTTCTCTCTATCAATATCCTTAACTGTAGAGCCTTTCCTCTATAATGTCTATCGTTTGATATTTAGCTATTGGTTAAAATAAGGCTCTTAGGCCCGAGAGACAGTACAGGGGTTCAGGTTCCTGCCTAGTATGCTGTCAAACCTAGTTCAATCACAGACACAGAACATGGTCCCCAGAGCATCCTTAGAAGCAATCCCTGAGCACAGAGCTAGGAATAGCCCCTGAGCATTATCTGGGGCTGCAGGTTTTGGGCGTGGCCCCCAAACCAATACTTGAACATAACATAGGATTATAAAGCACAAGATATAATAACCAATTTACAGCCTATATTATCAGATCTCTAAGATAGTTCACCTAGGCTGCAACTCAAAACCCAGAAGGGTAAAAAATGAAAATGATTTTTAATTTTTTTTTTTTTACAGACTGGAAAAAACTCCTTAGAATTCAATATGCCTAGACAGATTTTATGAGAAAAGAAAATTCAGATGTTTCCTAACATAAAGTCAATCAAATAGAAAGTTTTGTAAGAGAACAACTAATAAATAATAGTATCAGAGCTTCAAAATTATTGTCTTAATAAAGGGCCCAGGATGTGGATAAGGTAGAATGTAGAATGCCACTTTGCAAGCACCTAGTAATCTGACACCACCAACTCTTACCCCCCAAGTGTGCAATCCCAGAGGCACCATTGTCTGTGATCACCAGCATGGCTGCTATAAAGATGTGTGGGCACCATAGTGGGAAGTGTGATCCCTGGCAAGCAGGCACGCAAGCCCTGCAGCCTCACCTGCTAGTATCAGAACCAAATCATGTATCTTAACTGAAGGAGTGTAAAGCTGTGTGCACGAGCAGAGTGCGCAAGCACTGCATCTGGACTTGTGACAGTCAGTGATAAAAAAAAAAATGTGGTAACATCAAAGAGAAACAAGTGTGCAACCCCCATCATGGCAGTATCAGTGATAACAAAGAGGAATTGGTGGAAGGGAATTGCAGTACAAATAAAACAGTGATGCTATAATAGTTAAACTAGTAATACTTATAATAAGCATTTTTTTTATACAAAAGGAAGAAAGTCCCTGAAGAATGAAGAATCTTACTTTTACCAGTGGAGTAGCAAGTTTCCTGAAAACATTTCCTGATTGACATTTATACAAAGTCATTTATCTACAAATTTTCTTTTCATTCATAAATCCTCAACACATTCCTGAGAGGTAAAATTGACCCCCATGAGCTAGATCTAAAAATAGCTCAGGATATGCACAAAACAATATAAACAATTTAGTTTGCTTTTCGTGGCTGTGCTGACAATTCAGCCTGCTAACATATTTCACATTAAGAGAGGAGAAAGGAGGAGTTCCTGCAATGTTGAAAACATCCTTTGAGTCACTTAAATATTTAATTATTGATCATCCACATAAGTGGGGAACAAATACGGACTGTCAAGGAAAAAACCTTCCCTGCCCAAAACTTGTTTTTATTTTCCTACTTGCTTCAGTTATGTGACATTAGAAACAAACACAGATAAACACAGATATATGCAAGCACAATCTTTTTTTTAATCCAAAGATTTCCATATGGAAATAATGAGGCAGTTTTTGCATAAGTTGTTGTCTTGGTTTGTTTCTGTGAGGCATGTATGATGCCTGTGGATGAACAGGCCTGGTAAGAGAATACCTAGCTTACAGTGTGCTTCATGTAATGCACAACAGAAGAGGACAGAGAATAGACTGGAGAAAAGAGAAGCTCACCAAGGCCCTGATAGTGTCTGTAGGAGGAAGGGGCCAGGCAAGAATCAGAAATGAATGAAGCCAACCTCATGGCAGCTGAGCAAAACCAGGGTGTATTTCCAAGGGCTCAGAGCTAGTTACCACACAAACTTTCTTGTAGGGAATATATGTGCAGTATAGTCAGAATTGCTTACTTTTCGACTAAAGGCAGATAGTCACCAGGTTTTGTGTAAAAAATTTCCCATTAGAAAAAAATAAAGAATAGCTAATTAAAAAATTTATGTTGACCCAACAAAGTCTTTGAGATAGCACCAGGCTATCCCTAACCTTTCTTTCACCTCAGTGGAGAATTGGGTGAGTGCTTGAAATGAAGGGTTTATGATGGCTTGCTTCTCACTCCATAAATAAAATATAACTTTGGTTAGAATCCAGTGAATACCTGAAACATGGAAATGCCTGATGGCATGTAGCTTGGATAGGATCTGTGCTGATGACACTGTTGCCCTGGGAGAACGATAAAGGTCTGTGTGGGGAAAGGAACTCATAATACTTCATCTAAAAGATTTATTCAACGTTGACTCACCATTGCTTTCCAAGTAATGTAGGTCATCTTACCTGTGCAGTCTTGATGACACTGTGCTCATCAGTGCTTGCTATTTGATAGACTTTTGCCATAACTATTGTTCTTCCCAAAGGCCCGCATGCTCTCTCCAGCTTCCGGTTGCAATCTTACATTTGGGACCGTAAAAATAGAAGACACTGTGAATGGAATAAAAGTTTTCACTCATCATCTTTATAGAGGTATTTCTCGTCTTTTTTAAAAAAAAAAAAATAAAGGAGCTTGGGGAGCTGAGGAGATAGCTCAAAAAGGCTGGGGTGCATGTTTTTGCATATAAGATCCCCAGAGTTAAAAATCTCAGCACCAAATAGTTCCTTGAGCACTGCCAGGGACGGCCCTCAAACAACTGTGTGTATGCGTGAGAGTGTGAGACGGGGTGGGGGAGAGGAAGTGGGAGAGATTCTCAGAATGTGAAACATCATGGTATGTGCCTTGGTCTTGAAATACCAAGTGGCCATGCTCCCCCATACATTTACACAACTTCACAAACACATATGGCAATGAAATATGCTTCTATACATAACCACAGAGCAGTGGATCTCTCCTATTTCTCTGATCTAAAGAAACATTAATTTGGTATTAGAAATATAATGTTTTGCTACTTCTCCATGTCTTTCTTTCACTACCTCATCGGAGAGAGAAGTATTGAGTCCCACTATGCTCTTGGTATTTTGGAATCTTGCAGGATATAAATCAAGGCAGAAAGAAATACCCATTCTTTTAGATTTCACTTGGGAAAGACAATTACTAAACAATCATAGAAACATGTCAACTAGTAGTTGACAAATATGGTCCCCTGAACCCTGCCAGGACTGATCCCTGAGCACAGAGACAGAAGTAAGCCTGAAGTACTGCTGAGTGTGTTTCAAAAACAAACACACAAACAAACAGAAGGATGTAGAAAGAGAAACTAACAGGAGCTGACTTTGAAGAGCAAAAAGAGAAACAGTCATTATATTGAGTGGGCAATCACATAAACACAGGAAAAAGAAGGTGGAGAGTGACAGAGAAACAGTACTTGGAAACACAAGAAATGGTGTACTCTGAGTTGTTTCCTCTCCCTACACCCCCTTCTATTTGGGGCTAAGGATTGAATGCAATGTCTCAGACATGACAGACAGGAACTCTCAACAGCTGAGCTACACCCCCTGCCTGTGATTTTAGCTGTATATGAAAGGTAGTGCCAATAGGATCTGTGGGAACTCCAGGCGTGGGCATAACAAAAGAGTCAGGACAACTTGCAGAACTGAAGCTTGGTGTTACCATTTCAGGGCAAAAATTCAGAAGACTTACTCTAGAGTTCAGTTTAGGGTTGGAGAGATAGTACAGGGATTAAGGTGCCTGCTTTGCACGTGGCTGACACTGGTTCAATTCCCAGCACTGTACATGATCCCCTGAGCAATTGTAGGTGTGATCCCTGAGAGCAGAGTCAGAAGTCAGTCCTAAGCACAGCGGGGTGTGACCCCCCAAAAGAAAAAACAACAGTTAAAAAAAAGGAACAAAAACAGTACAGTTTGGGTTTCTGAACTTTGATACACCAACTCTGACATCTGCAGAGGTGAAGTCTTTAGTTGGATATACAAGTCTGGAGTCAGCAAAACGGGACTGGAGATGAAAACCCAGAAGCTGTCAGTGTACAGAGGATATTTTAACCATGAGACCAGAGCAGATCTTCTAGGCCCAAGGGGGTGTGCATGCAGAAAGAATAGAGATGAAGTCCCAGTGCACGCCAATGAGTTATGTGACAGGACTGGTAGATGCAAGAAGAAAGAGGAAGGTTCACCCGTGACGTTTCTGAGGAGAGTTGAGAGAGGCCAAAAGAAAACTCTGAAAAAGCCCTGTTCAGGAATTCAAGGGGAAAGGAATGTTACAAAGAGGAAATGATGGTCATCTCCTCTCCTACTTTGAATTCTGCTGATGAGCAGAGATAAAGGTGGGGAGAGACCAGTGGGATAAAAATCCGGGATTGGACGGATTCTCAAGAGAATGAGCAGCAGAGTCTGGAGGCAGCAAATATATTTGAACTGGTCTGTCTGTTTTGTTTTGTAAAGGATGGCACAGAGCTACGTTCCTGGCAAAATATTGTTTTATAGTAACACAAACATTAGAGCTGGAAGACTCCTTGGGGATCACTGTGTGTGCAGCAACTTAACAGAGGCGTGGAGGCTGGGATCAGCCCTCTGGTTCCTAGTTCACGCTCCTCACATTGCTCAGCTCTGTTGCCTCCTTTCCCACAGCCCTGGGTCTTATGGATTAGCAAATGAATGCAATAAAATCAAGGACTTTGCTCTATGAAGTGTATTTTGTTCATTTATTTTGACAAGGGTAGTTCAGCCTCAATTATTTATGTAACTTGATAGTATACACAGGAGAACGCTCTGTGGTGTCTTTGGGAAAAGTAATGAATTTCTTCTAAATCAGCCCTCCATTTCCTTTCCAGCAATTAAATCTGTGAAGAAGTGGGGCAAGGCTGTTGGGGTTTCAGAACCAAGGGAGAATGACAGGAGTGCCACCAGACCTAGCCAGCTTTGAAACCACCACACCCCCAGGTATCTGTTCTATTATTCTTGCTTGATAAATTTATAATTTCTCTTCAGTGGCACACAACATATTCCTGATAAATTTTGGTACTGTATAAAGTGAAAAGGTCTTAGGCTTAATAACAAAAGATATAGCATTACCTAAGTCTGAAAAACAAATAAAGTCTGGCATAAGGACAGAACTTCATCTTTGTACTAATCCCTGAAATAATTTCAGTGCTCTGGGAAGGTTCTAATAACACCCGCTACTCCTTGAACAGGGTATGATATATTAAAGTAGGCCAAGAAGGCCACAGCCCACGTTGAGCTTATTTTATTTCAATTATTTTCTTTAACTTGGTTTTGCTTCTGTTTGCAGAAAGCAAAGTGTTTCCTTTCATGTACATTCTTTAACAAAATGCTATCAGTTATTTTTATAAATGTGAGTCTACAGACCAGGGTTTCGCAACCCTTTTCTGACCATGGCTCCCTGTTGATCTTGTTTCCTTCATTTCTTACCAGTTGGCCCCCTAGTCTCATGCTTGCTCCTAGACCATGAACATAATTTCACTTGTGGCTCCCTTGGCATAACCCATGGGGCCAACAGGGGGTCATATGGTCCAATACTGAGAAACACTGCTCTGGATCAAATTGTGTCCTTACCAAGTTTATATATTGGTGCTTTAATATGACCATGGACTGGTAATTTGGGGAAGGAGCACTGGGTGACATTAAGGCTAAATAAGGGCAGCTTGGGGTCCCTTTTGTGATGAGATTAATAGCCTCATCAGAAGAACATATTCTCTCTGCCTTATAATCATGTGATGAGATGATGTATATCTGCAAGTCAGAGAGAGACTCGTGCAGAAAGCCACATTCACTGGCACCTTGATCTTGTCTTTATGTCTCATTCTGTGATACAGGCTGCAGCAATGAAGAGACTGAAGTTCTTGCAGTTATGATTCTGAACCTTGGCTTGGCTCCCAAGACAATCCACTCACTGATTCTGCATTCTTCTTCCCAGGTGTTGTTCCTTTCAAATCTCCATGGAAAGGAGGCCCAGGAGGGTGTGGCTGCTGCTGCTGCTCCCGCCGCTAGGGCCACTATGTGATGGACTTTTACAAAACTTCAAATTAATTTAAAATTTCAGAATAAATATAGGCTGTAGACTATTAACTCAGAAAGCAGGGTCATCAGAACTAGTCACTTTACCTGAAACAACTATTTCCCCAGATCTCCAAGGCCTGGGAATTCTTTGTTTTGTAAACATGTTTACAAGGACTATTACTGTGTCCGAAATGGAAATGACTGTAGTATTTAATACTGAGAATGTCCTTTCTTTTGACTTGATTTATGCTTCATAATGATTATCTGCTAGACACAGAAATAGCATTTCCGTAACTCAAAATTGTTACCGGAGGCATTTAGCAAAATCTTGCTTTAAAAATATAATGATTTTTCATCTTTATTCTCCCCCCTTCAAAAGGTTTCACTGCTCCTGATGTTTAACGTTATGCAAAGACGTGTTTCTGCCAATGAATATCGCCTTATGGTTATGCTTCTGCAAATAGCCTGCTGTGAGCTGATAAAGGGATTAATGCAGCCAAAATTCTTAATCTGTGAAATTACAAATTAAATTCTCATATTAAAAATACCACCCTGAGGTATTTTTTGTGGTTTTAATTCCCCTCTGGTGTTCTGCATACATTGTGCTTGTTAATGACAGGGACAAGGCTGTCTCCGCTGGCAGCCTGCTGCCGAGTGATAATGTGTAGGCATTTACTTACTGATAGAAACTGGATTTAACCACTGGCTGATAAACTAAGTGGCAAGTGGGTAATAAGTCCCTATTAACAGAAAAATACTACTACAGAATTCAGAATTCATAGACCATCAAAATCTTGGCTTAAACTCAATCATTGAGTCAGATGGGATTGAGATGTCACCAAGGAGGAGTGATATTCAATTCTGTACTATACTAAATGGGAAAACAAACCATATGTTTGAGTTCGATGAGCCATAAACTAATGAGCCTACTCACAACTGTTTTCCAATATAGAAAGATTTTACCATTCATAATTTTTCCATATGAATTTCCTGTTTCTTTCTTTTCTTAAAAGGAGATCACTGTCATTATGGTCACTAGGTTTTCATTTAGGAAGGAAAATAGGCCAGTATATAAGATGAATATGAGCTGGGAATAGATGATAAGGAAGAGTTACAAAGCATAGAGGAAGGAGTCTGTTACTGTAATCCTAGATAATTTGAGGTACAAAAATAAATTCAAATTAAATAAAGTAGTATATCCAGAAAGATTTAATTAGGTGTATTAAAGAAGAGTTTTTTCCTTAGGACGATGTTCCAAAGTGAGGGGTACTTGTCATCAAGGAAATCTAGTACCACAAACGGGAAAAGTCTAAAGTCCAAGAGATTCAAGAAACTTCCCTTATGTCTATCGTGAGTGTGACACGCCCTAGGGTTAGTAAGGACATCATAATTATATGCATATATGCAACATATTAATTTTAAGACAACCTGGAGAGTAAGAGAATAAGTACCTTTAAATTTTTTTTTAAAGAATCCATCAGCAGCGAACAAAAAGTTTCTCACTGCAACAGTGTTTTGCAAAATTTCACAAGAATTCTGTTTCACACTTTAGAAGAAAGATGAGACCTCCAAGCCATAAATCCTCTCCCCAAATATTTAAAATATAATTGGAAAAGGCTGTGTAAATATGAACACTTTTATAAAAACAAAATAAAAATCCACCCAGGAATGTGTTTTGTTTTAAAAGATCCAGAGAACAGTCTGTATGAATACCAAGAGCATTTGTAGTTAAAATGAATTACATGTCTCCACTTCTTACATGTCAATTCAGTGCATTAGCCAATTGCCAACTCTGTTCCTCAGCTCACTGCATAGCAGCCCTTTTTAAGGTTATTGTTACAACCAAGATGGGCTCTGAGAATCAAACAGAAATGAATCATTTCTCCTCTGTGTACTGTAGCCAGTTAAAAAGTACTGCATGCACAAAGCACTAAATATGTAAATCATATTTTCCTTTCCCTTTATGATGGCTCAGATCATTCTTTTTGACACACATAGAATCAAATACAAAGACAGGCAGCTGCAGACTGCAGTGCAGAGATAGCAAAGAAGGAATCCATTTTCTTCCTGTCTCGGGTAGACTAGCAACTGAATGACAGAATTCCACTAAATGTATACACATACAACCCTTTCCCCTATCCCTTCCCTCACACTCTGTCCCTCTTTCTTTCATACAATTTTATGCATGCATGCAATGGCATACACAAACATAATCTTTCATATGCACACAATAACATATGACTCTTTCTACATGTTATGTATGATTGATAAAGTGATATTCTGTCTTGATTGGGTGTCACGATTTGCCATACTCACTATCGGTCAGTTCCCATAGCCGTGGAGGCAAGTCACTAAAATACTCGTGGCTCAAGGCAGCCTGTGCCGATAGTCTGTTCTTTGGGGAACACTGTAGGAGCTTGGAAGCCAGATCCTCTGCATAATTCACATAGCTGAGCCTGAAAGCACAAGCAAAATAGAGAAATCAGAGTGAAAAAGAAAATCCACTACATAAAACATGATTAACTAATTTAATCATGTTCGGATTTATTTATTCCTGACATTAAAAACGACTTACGCATTGAAAATAAACAGAAGCAAAATTCACTTTGGTTTGTAAAGTATCTTTTATTCTAAACTGACTTTTACTCTTGATAATCTAGCCCCACTGACTTAAAATACTACTATTGCAATGAAAGGCAGCTACTTTCAGGAAGAACTAATCTAAGGTACAAAGTTTTTTAAGACAGCAGTTGGTAGAATTTGTTCACAAAATCTATTCCTGTACATACAGATGGATATATTTATAGGGAAAATAATAAAAAATAAGAGAATTAAAGTAAAACTGGTTTTAAGTGCTTTATTAACTACTATCAAGAATCATAGTATTAGTACATATACTAAATATGGCACTTGAATCAGGTCAAAATGACCACCAAAAGACTAGAGAGAGAGAGAAAATAGGTCTTTCAAGATTGCCAGAAAAGCAGAAAAGTCGAGTTTCCCAGGTGGGACGACTCTTGAACAGAAAGCAGAACACACAGTGCGATCTGTCTTGCTTTTCATGGAAATGTTTCACATCTCAGTGCAATCAAAGCCCAATAATTAACATCATAATGGCAATAAAAGTGTTCAAAATAATGGCTATCATTTATGAAGAATTGAACATGTGTCAAGAATTTTCTTGGGGTGGGGTGGGATATCTCAGTGGTAGAGCACCTGCCTGTGGGAATGAAGCTCTGAGTTTGGTCCCTGGCACTGACCCACAGGCAAAATGCAATCCTGATGGTGGACCTGGTGTCAGTCACGCACCACATTGTGTAAGGCCCCAGGAGAGTAGCACAACCAAGTACTTGAGCACCAGCCATGGCAATAACAACAATAAAGGAAAGATGGGGGGTGAGGGATGGGAATCCTTAGGCATTTTTCACTCTCGTGGTTATAGTCTAACAATGTGACTCTGCTCTATCTTCCCAAATAACACTGTGGAGCAAAGTAGGCATCAGAGAAGGCCCCTTAGCAGACCAAAATACTTCACACTGACCCTGAACTATGTGCCGCTACAATGCTTCACATTTGCCATACTCACAGATGGCTTTAAAGAAGTTTGATCTGAGATTTCTGCATTGCTACAACAGATGTAAAAACGGGAGAGACTAAGATTGCATTTGCCCTGGGGTAATTTTTCAAAAGTCTAAAGCTACTAAGCTCACAACTAATCAATAGATATCTTTCTTCAATTGCCCACAACTCTTGTCCTACCCCTCCTCAAGCATCTCTTTAGTAGTGTTATAAAATCATTAATGGGACAGGAGGATTGGAAGTGAAGAAAGCAGAGGGGAGGTAAAGAATTTAAGTAAAGAAGGAGAAAAGGAAAATATATATTATATAATACATAGGGGCTGGAGCAATAGCACAGCTCGTGCCTTGCACGCAGCCAACGTGGCCGACCCGAGTTCGATTCCTCCGCCCCTCTCGGAGAGCCCGGCAAGCTACCCGTGACGTATTCGATATGCCAAACACAGTAACTAGTCTCATGATGGAGACGTTACTGGGCCCGCTCGAGCAAATCGATAAACAATGGGAGGACAGCGAGAGAGACAGTGATAATACATATATTAGATATTATTACACTAAAGGCCCAACCATCTAAATCGTCATATGAGAAAGTCTAACATATGAGTCAGTATAGGGCTGCTACAATGGCTCCATTTTAAATGATCATGATTTCATTTGCAATGTATCTTCCTAGGGAAGAGAAATTTTCAGGAAAAGAAGTTCTCATGGTTCTCCAAGTTGTTTTCTTTCCTTTAAGAGGGGCCATGGCCATCTGAATGGTTTCTCCCTCTTATAAGACTTTCTCATTGTCATAACCCTTCATCAATATTTAAAAATATCAAATGCAAAGTTTGAGATGTATCATGGTAAACATTATACTTAAATTGGATGTACAGTTTATATACAATCGTGGTGAGCCTTATGTCAGTATCAACTTTATACAGGTTTGCTACAAAAGAACAAGAGTGCCAGATGGAGACTAGACCTTAGTTTTAATGCTACCCTGTCACAAGAGTGATAAATCCCATATGGCTGCAGAATCTCTAGCTCCAACAAAGCCTGACTCATATGTGGAGCATGCTTTTACTATTCTGAAGAATTATAAATAGTTAGAATTGTATCTTTGTTTCTGGAACAGATTATCAATCACATGTAGACTTAATGCATAAGAATCTAAATATAAGGAATTAACCATTAATAATTCATTTTTCTTTCTGAACCCCAATATGACTAAACTTAGACCTATGAAAATAATTGAATGCTTCTATGCAATATTTGGTTAATATAAAAATATTTAAATTATCAATGGAATACTAATTTAGAAAGATATCTATTTATTGCATGCATTTCAAGGATAACTTTCAACACAACTTTCCACAGGCATTTTAGCATCAGGTTTTGTGTTACTAGAACCAGGTTTTTTTTTTTGCTTTTTGGGTCACACCCGGCGATGCTTAGGGGTCACTCCTGGCTCATGCACTCAGGAATTGCTCCTGGCGGTGCTCAGGGGACCATATGGGGTTCTGGGAATCGAGCCTGTGTCGGTCATGTTGGCTGCGTGCAAGGCAAACGCCCTACCCGCTGTGCTATCACTCCAGCCCCTAGAACCAGTTTTGAGTCCATCTAAGTTGAGTTTTATCCCAAGTCATAAGTGCTCACCTTATTAAAATGTTAGAATGATTGTGGTTGTTTGAAATTTCCTTTTATGTTGGCCGATTTTCAAATCTTTCCTTCTAATTTCATCCATTTTTGCTTTATATATTTTAAAGCTGTATCATTAAGTACACTCACGAAGGTACCGGCAGAGGAACAAAGGCATGCGGGTCCCGGGGCTGAGATCTCCAAGCCTGCTCTGATAGGGGCTGAGCATCCTACACCCAGATCCTCCATCTTCCAGTAGGCAGGGGTCACACCCACCAACTGGCCCCCTGGCTCCGTGTAATCCCATCAACGGCCAAGACACGGAGACTATAAAACCCAGCTCCCGGAAAAGAACAGTGCAGAGTCTCCTGCCCCCACGCCTGGCTGTCCTCACCAGGGCCCCTTGGAGGGGGACAGGTTGAGTTTCCCTCCCCAACCCGACCAGAGCTCTGGCAGCCGAAGACCTCCAGAACCAGCCACAACCATGCTGAGACCACTCTCCACACGCACGAAAGCACTGGCAGGGGAACAAAGGCATGTGGGTCCTGGGGCTGAGATCTCCAAGCCTGCTCCGATCGGGGCTGAGAATCCTCAACCCAGATCCTCCATCTTCCAGTAGGCAGGGGTCACACCCACCAACTGGCCCCCTGGCGCCATGTAATCCCATCAACGGCCAAGACCCAGAGACTATAAAACCTAGCTCCTGGAAGCACGGCCGCAATTTTGCGACATCTTATTGCCTCATTCTTTCTTTGGACAACCTGGCAGGCTACTGAATGTAACCTGCTTACACGGCAGAGTCTGGCAAACTCCCCGTGGCATACCCAATATGCCAAATACCAGTAACAATGATGGGTCTCATTCTCCTAACCCTGAAAGAGCCTTGAATATGGCACTTTTTAAAATCTCAGGGCTAGGGTGAAGGAGACATTACTGGGGCCTGCTAGAGGCAATCCACGAACAACAGGATGATCGTGATCGAGATCATTAAGTACATAACAGTCTAGCACTATTAAATTCTCCTGATAAATTAACTCCTTAATCCTTCTGTAGTCATGCTCTGTATCTTAACAAAACTTTTCAGACTAAATTTCCTTCCTTCCTTCCTTCCTTCCTTCCTTCCTTCCTTCCTTCCTTCCTTCCTTCCTTCCTTCCTTCTATCTTCCTTCCTTCCCTCCCTCCCTCACTCCCTCCCTCCTTTTCTCCTTTCCTCGCTCCTTCATTCTTTCTTTCCTCATATTAATTTAATGACCTTAGTTTTTTGTTTTGGGATTTGCTGACATACCATCTGTCACTTTCTTTTAATGTTTCATATCCAAAATTTTAAGGTGCCTCTTTCATAAATATTATATAGCTGGTATTTATCCAATTAAACTACTCCCCATTTGTGGGGCATATTTGGGTCACACCCAGTGGTGCTTGGGGCTACTCTTGGTTCTGTTATCTGTGATCCCTTCTTGCAATGCTTGGGGAATCTTATGGTGCCGGAAATCAATCTGGGATAATCAGCCGGGCTAGAGCAAAGGTGCCGCCGATTGGGTGCTTGTCTTACATGTGGCCGGGTCAAATTTGATCCCTGTACCCATATGGTTCGGCCACCTCCACCAGGAGTGATCCCTCAGCACAAAACCTGAAATAAGCCCTGAGCACTGCCGAATCTGGAACAAAACCAAAACAGAACCAAAAACCAAAACCCAAAAAAAGGGAGATTAGCTGCATGCAATACAAGCCTCTTAACCTTTGTATTATTTCTCCAAACGCTCCATTTTGAAGAAAATTAGTTTATTTACAATACCATATTAATCTTGCATTTCATTTTGTCTTATTCTATCTTTGATCTCATATTCTTCCTTTTTTGGACTGAGTTTTAAAACAGCATCTTCCTAAGATGGTTTTAAAATGTATACTTTCCATTTATGTGTTTTTTGATTACTGTAAGTTTTTTTTCTCTTGTTTTGCAGTTCAGTATTTATTTAGACATTTAAACTGTAACATGAAGATTTTATAAGCTGGTGTACAGTGACAAGTTACTTTTCCTATAAAAATTACAGACCTATAATCACATATTCAAGCTTTAAAAATAAGATTGAACATCAATATATAGCACCATTTTATCAATTACAAAATATGACAAAATATTAAGTATAAAAAAGTAACTTACAGAGTTCAACAGACATATAAAATACCAAATACCTATTCAATTTATTCACAGAAACTATTTTTTTTCAAGAAAGATCAGGAGAAAAAATTGCTTCCACCA